TTCTGATTTGTCCAGAATGGAGGTCCATTATGCCAGATGGCAAATCAAAGCATTGGGAGACATGATTTTTATCGGTCAAGAGATTTATTTCAAAAAATTTAACATGGCTGACCTAATAATAAAACAGGGAATATTATGAATGAAAAATTGAATATTTATATAATCTAAGAAGCTAAAAGAATATTGTTAAGATGTTTTCAGTCTACTCTTCTGATAAAAATTGTTTATTTTTCTGTCATAAAGTGAATTTGTTTGACCCACTTTTCGCTTTTCATTCATAAACTATGAAGAAAGAATTTAGGATTATCACCATCACGTCTTATTAACATCATACTAATATTGGTCAATAGACGTAGATCCCCTCTATTTGTCCACAATTATTAAACTATTTATGGTTTAGAGATAAATTCAATGATAACCCTGTAGATCATATCTATCATTGTCAGAATCTAAGGGCGAAAATTTTCCAAATTGGTGTATATGGGAGGATTGAGGGTCTGTCATAGATCAATATACAGATAAAGTGTATATCAACCTTGCTATTCAGGTACAGATAAAAGATTAGGGGTCAAGGGGTCAGTTGATTATTTCATGGGTCAGTTTATATAGATATTGAAGGTAAATATTTATAGCTGGACAGCATTAAGAACCCCTTCTCCTTGATCCTTTGATAAAAAGTGAGTGTTCACAGTAGGCAGTGTTAATATATTTAACATACATTAGGCTATATGTATACAATCTTGTTTATTTACCATTATCTGTGAAAGAAAATTCTCATCTAATTATGCTTGTGGAAAGACCATAAACATAAATAAGCTTACTATGTGTAGTTGTTTTGTTGATATTTGTTGGAATCAGTATCACATGAGAAGAATATGAGTCTGATTCTATGTCAAAGAACATTATACCAAAAAATGATAATGATATTAATTCTTCAAAGTTTAGCTTTAAGTTAAAGCATAAAAAGTCAGTTATGACACTTAGTTAAACAAATATAGTTGTGAAAGCTGTATAAATAGCACATAGAGTTATTAAATAGCCTCACAATTTTTTAGATTTTCAGATTGTGAGGATGGCGTTCCATTGAACTTTACCACCAAACTACTCTTTTACAGGTGTGGCTTTACTATGTATTCATAACATTTTTTTGCAATTTTGCAGAGAAAACAATGCTTATGCTATTATTGAATCACATCACATATTTAAAAGAATTTGAATATGAACACAGCTACTGATAATTATAAAATATATAGAATTAAAGATAAATGATTAGTATTGAATGAGTTTAGTTGTATATTTATTGAGTTGAGATCAAGTGATCTGATTATAAAATGATAAACTTTACAGATAAACTCTCTATACTTTTATTATATATACTGAGAATTTTAATTAGTGATGTTAACTGACTTTAATATCATTAAATTTCTACTAGCTAGAACTAATTAATCATGATCTTCTATCCTGACACCAGATTGGTTGCTTTCTGTGAACATCTGGTCCCAACTTGTGTTAGTGATTTTTCAGATATAACAAATTCTAGAAGAACTTTTTATAAGTCCAGAAAGAACTGCATCTGGTCATTGGGATTTTAATATTGTGAAAATATCATCACTTTGGCCTATTACATTATAAATCTACCAAAGACAAACAAAAAGCATCAATTTTTATTTTTTGAAAATAACTGAGTTATTCAAAGCCCCAAATGTATTCTGGAGATGGCTAGAATATTAACGGTCTTTCAACAGTTCACATAGTGCTTATCCCAACTGTTCAGAGGTTTTGTAATTTTTTTTAACCCCTGTTGTAAATAATAGTAGCACAGGAAGTTTTAGCAGTATATAAAAACCTTCAAGATGCTATCTGTGCCCAGTAGAATATATGATGTACTATGATTTAAGAGAGAAATATATTAAGAATGTTATATATGGAGTATATTATAAATCAGTGGTTTCCTATCTCTATTCTACATCACACAATAAAGACATACCATTCATAACTAGCATTGAAAGTTAATAACTTATTGTATACTCAGAGTGCATTCAGTGTCTAGATAAACAATTGGGAGAAATTTTTCTCTTCACAGTTTGGCCATGTATCAAGAGTATTTCTGCTGTCTGATTGTTCGGGTAGATTAATTTATGACAATCTTCTAGTCTAGGTCTTTTATAATAATTATGTAACAGAATATTAGAAAAATTCTTAAGGTCCCTTGTGTAGATGATCTGATAGAAAACCTTAAGATTCATTGACTTTGTCAACTCAGTTCTCTAATTTGATTGATATTAGTGTTTTGATTTCATATTTTTTATCATAAGGATAACATGATGTAGGTGTAATTACTGATAGATCTCCAAATCCATTAGTTTGATAAGTTTCGTATTCAAGGCTTCAGTTATTCAGTCTTTCTGTTCAATGAACTTCCATTTCTGTAACATGACTTGATTGTTTTAAGGAATATGTTACTGTACAGGACAAAGGACACAATTATATATGATTAAATGGACAATGAAATATATTCAAAATGAAGTAGGCTATTAATGTATATCCTTCCACCAATTTAGTTGTCACTTTTGATAGGTCAATTGCTAGACACTGAAACAGCCTGGTAACCAATTCAAGCATAATGGAATTTAATATTTCATTAATAATTAATAATCATTCAGTTTAATATGACAAATTTAGGATTAGATTAATAATTAACTTGCTAATGGAATCCATTTTAGGATATTAAAAATTTTATAGTAGAATTGGAATGAAGTTGAATGAGTCATCATTAATTTGTTTTGAAATATATCAATTAAATTAGTATGTTACATTCAAATTTTCTCTTACATGCAGTTGTTTGAAAGGTGAAATGTTACTTGAAAGGTCTTCTCTTGAAGGATGTAATATGAAAGGTCTTCTCTTGAAGGATGTAACGTGAAGGATCTTCTCCTGTAGGATGTAACTTGAAAGGTTTCCTGTTGTAGGATGTAACATGGAAGGTCTCTTCTTGTAGGATGCAACTTGGAAGGTCTATTCTTGAAGGATGTAACATGAAAGGTCTTCTCTTGTAAGATGTTACTTGAAAGGTCTTCTCTTGTAGGATGTAACATGGATGGTCTCTTCTTGTAGGATGTAACTGGGAAGGTCTTCTCTTGTAGGATGTAACTTGAAAGGTTTTCTCTTGTAGGATGTAACTGGGAAGGTCTTCTCTTGTTGGATGTAACTGGGAAGGTTTTCTCTTGTAGGATGTAACTGGGAAGGTTTTCTCTTGTTGGATGTAACTGGGAAGGTCTTCTCTTGTTGGATGTAACTGGGAAGGTCTTCTCTTGTAGGATATGATGTGAAAGAAAAGAAATGATTGTTTATGAGACTATTGCCGAATGTAGGTGAATTCAATGTTGGAGAGAGTAATTTTCCATTTTGTCTAACTGTATAAATTAGTAATTACATGTACCTTGAGTAACTATAGTTGAATATTGACAGTAAACTAGTGTCAAGATTGATTGGTATAGACTATAGTTTGATGTAATTACTATAGAGATTAGTAATAGGGATCTATTAGATATACACAACTTGTTATTCTCTGACAATGATAGATAATGTACACATTTCTTATTATTTTCAGCTATTTCATTCTCCAGAAAGTTTTTTTAGTGTGAACAATTTCCTCATAGTTTTTTTTGCAAGCCCAAAGCAAGATGCATGGTCTTGTTATTGTTTTCTGTGGTCATGAGGTGTATTCACTTTGGTCGGTCACGTATAGTTTTCTCTTTGGTCATGTAGTGTCTTCTGTTTGGTCATGGAAGTATTTGACCATGAGGCGAAAAATCCTCCTACGTTAAGAAATATTTTGACTCTCTTTGTTGAAAAAAACCTCTTCTGTACCTTTTTTGGGTCAACACTGTTACAACTGTGTTAAGACAATTTGTCTTTGTCAGAAAAAAACACCTTTAAACTGATGTCATAATTATTCAGATCAGAAGCAATACATAGTAGATGAAGTATCTGCTTCACAAGACAAAGTGATATATACCACCAGTTTATTAAGTTCTGATAGCCTATCTGTACCCAGTTGAGTTTGATGTATTGGATTATTGTGGGTTGTTTCTCAGACTAGTTGTGATAATTAATTTGTTTCTGGTCATGTTTTCAACCAGATTGTATTAGTATTTGACTCAGTAGACTGTTGACCTGTATATGACAGATACCAGGTTGTGGGAAATGGAGGATGTACAACAACTTCTTCTCAGGTTTTGTCTGGCAATGATTTTACTAATATATTACCTTTCCTGGTCCTGAATTATTTTTAAACTTACACATTACAAATGGTAGATTTTCATGTACATATATTTCAAACATTAAAGTAGATCTAAAACAAAAAAAAGGTCAAGAAAAAAGATTGACAGATTAATTTCCTGGAATGCCAAGTCCATCATACCACTCATACTGATAATCATCAACAATACAATCACTAGTACACAAAATATTGCAAACATTCCTACAGAATCCGATAATCGCCATTATAGCTCTGTACAATATATGCATGAATAAATTGATAAAGTTATTTTAAATGTGACAGCTATCTACTAAGTGTAACAATCTCTGACACAAACTAACATTAAGTAATTGCTGTGTTGTAACAATTCTCAAGGGTACTCTTTGACCATTCTACCAGATATGTTCTCTAGTTGTAATTATGTCTACTATATGAATAGTGATAAGTTATCTCATAGAAAAAAAAGTCATTAATTATGTAGAAAGTATTTGATTGCTATAGAAAATTGAGCTTAATATGTATGGAAGCCTTTAGTGGTCATTTATATTCTGGCAATGCCAACAAGACCGAAATCATAATGCAATGGAAATTGATCTGGGTTTAGAAACCTGCTGTCCAAAAACACATAATAACAGCACAGGATTTCAGTTTTGCAATGATTATAATCTTACATTACTGACCATTACTGTAAAATTAATTCTAATTTGACTGATAAATCTTATATTCTTTCTATTTTCAGAATTTTTCACAGAGTTATTAGAAAATGCAAGAAAAGACTTACATGAAATGTTTGTGAAAACATATGGACTATTATATCAACAAAATTCCTATATATTTGAGGATTTATTTAAAGAATTACGTGGTTATTATAAAGGAAAAGATGCCAATCTTATGGAAGTGATGGATAATTTTTTCAGTCGGTTATTACAAAAAATGTTCAAACTATTAAACGCAGACTATCAATTTGATGATGAATATATGAGTTGCGTTACTGAGCGTATGGATGAATTACAACCTTTCGGAGATGTTCCCCTTAAATTATCAATCCAAGTCAAAAGAGCATTTATAGCTGCGAGAACATTTGTACAAGGTTTAGCTATTGGTAGAGATGTTGTAATGAATGTTATGGAGGTAGGTGCTTTACTTTTTCTTTTCTAACTTGTATGGGTTTGCAGGCTTCTCCCAAAACTCTTTTAGCTATACGTTACTAAGACATTGTTGTCAAGATACAAAAATATGGTCTTGGTTTAAAGGAGCAAAATTTCACTCAAATAAGAATTTTGACAAACAAGAAGCAATCTGTCATTAGAACAGAATAGAAAATATCTCCTTATTTTTGCCTCTTACAAAGTCTAGCCTTTTATCATCCTAATTGATAAAATATTTACACAAACTTATGTTTACAACTCTTTCCCTAGACAAAAAACTCATAAAACCAAATGTGTGAAAATAATGATATGATATTGAAGAGACTATTGTTGGCCAAAGTACACCATATAAAATGTCTGGAATGACACTTCACGTGTTCATAAACACCATGTTTCTGTAGGTACAGACCTAGCCATCAGATATATCTACTAGTCAGTCTGCTCCCTAGGGCTGAAACACTAGTGGTAACATAAACTCAAAACATATTTCAAATCCCATGTAAAGGATGTGATTGTTTATAATAAGAAGAGAAATTGTGAAGCTTTGAAGTATCATATCAACTAGTCAAAAACTTTGACCACATGGATATGAAATTTTATTTTACATCTGACTTTTTTGTATGTGTTTGAGCTATTCAAAACTTGCAACATCAAATTTTTAAGACATTTTGTGATGGATAATTGCAAAAACCTTAATCTTAATCACAGTAGAGAAAACAGACTTGACTGTTTGCACCATAGATTTCATTTACCAGTAGATTTCCTTAAAAAGGACTACAATTTCACATTCATGTGAAGTTTATACTATGGACATATCAGATACATATAGACAAGAATATGGACCTTACTAGAAACTTCCATACATTGAAAGCGTCACAGAATAATTAGGAACAATTTCATGAGAGTATATATATTACAACCACCATAAAGCTAGCAATTATTGTTACAAGCAATTATAATTGAAACACTAAGACAATACTAAAATCTACTCTGACATATTAATGATCTACACCAGAAGTGATGATCCCTTTTATCTTCTGGGCACACAGCCAAACTTCTCGGCCAAGATTTCATTACAAATGGTGCAGCTGGTCTCAGCAGGTTAAATACCATGTTATTTCTTTACACGACATACAGTTCAGATGGTCAATTGGTATTTAAGATAAGATAGACTTTCATCAAAATATCTCTAAGCCAAATCTCATCTATCTAGTATTATAGTCCAACATTGTTGATTTGCTGATATTTTCCAGTTGGAAAGTGGTTGTTACTTAACTTACTGCCTGTGATATCTGAGCAATGATGTAAAATGGCTGGCTTTGACAATGCCCTTTAAATATTTTTTTACCCAGAAATTCCCAGATTATTTATTCATTCAACATCAGTTTAGCATCATGAAGCATTCATTATTTGGTACAATATTTGGTATAATATTTTTATTACTAAAGTTTACAATATGTCCACTTTTCAATTAAAATGGTGCTCAAATGACATAAGTTGACAACAGGAAACTTCAATTACCACTATAATCTGTTCTACAGCGAGAGAGAGAAAAAGGAATGGTGGGTTATAATACCTCAATCAACTAAATTAATTGCGTGAAGCTAATTATGGGCTAGAAATGCACATTATATCAAGCAATAGATAACAAGAAGATTGATTTACATTCCATTCTAATGTAGCTTAGTTCTAGAGATAAACATTCAACTCAACATGTGCAAGATTAGATGATGATTATTAGAATCCTCCATCTTGTGATTGTCCTTAACTCAACTGCTGTAAAGATGGCTTAATGCCAGGGTTTAATTTAAGGGGTATCGCATCACAATATTTCCTTTGATTAGCCAAAATAAAAATTTATCATAATGGATACAAATCAAATCAAATTGTTTATTTGAAAGTTTACTAGTGGAACATGTTGAATTGCTACTAAATCTTAAAGAAATGCGAATGAAAATTTAACTTGATTAGCCAAAACTTAAATTCCTTTTTTATAATAAAAAATTCCAATTATTTAGAGATTTTAAACCTATTTCTGTAAAGAAAGTAATTTGAAGACCATTTGTTTAAAATTAACCTTATTTATATTCATTTCACAACTTTGGCTCAAATAAAGTTAATGGTATGCAAGAATTTCTCAGAAAATGTTCAAATGAGGCTAAATACTTGAAGGATAAAAAAGGTACTTTTGTTTTTTGATCAAAATCTGACAGCTAATGAGTTTAATCATGAATAATTTGGGCGCCTTTTTCTATAAGTCATGAATTTTACCTTCTGATTATATGGAGATAACCTTATGTCAAAAACACTGACTTTCTTATCAAAGTTTGAAATATTTTTTAGCTTAAAATGTAGACAAGCAGATATCATATAATCCATTATTAAAGAGAAAAAGGTAGAATTTAATTACTGAAGTCTGCATGGTAAATAGACCTTAGATAGCCAGTTGATAGTAGAAGATTATTAATGTCTTAAAATCCTATATTTTAATTCCTAGAGTTTAATAAGGCACATTTCAAACTTCAGATCTGGGAAATATTAATTCCGCTAGTTATTTTTTAAAATAAATAACTGAATGAAAGAATGAATTAATGAATAACAAATTATTCAAATGAATACATGGCCTCTATAAAGGACTAAAAGTTATAACAAGTTTTAACAAAGTTTGGAAATTTGAGGTTTTAAGTTACTCTGTGACCTTAATTTTTAACGAAATATTGTAAACCAGTACTCTGTCCTGAATTAAAAAAAAATATAAACCTGTAAACCTGACTGGCTCATTTCAAATTCTAGTTGAATCTGTTTTTCTTTGACACAAGTAAAAGTCTCTTTGATTAGTCTCAAAATTTTCCCTTTGATATCAACTTTTTATTTTGACTTGTTGGTATTTATATTGTCAAATGGTTTTTATTTTACACTTTCTGCCGTCTTTGCACACCATCTGACCTTTCAGTTGATAGATATCTCAAAGTAAAGTTCTGTACCTTGTTCCAGAATGGTTCAAACTTGAAAACTTGTGAAAAACTATAATACTGTTTGTTCATTCATTGGTTAAATTATTTATTCATTCCAATGGTGAATTATGAATTTATCAATTAGTGTTACCCTCATTCATGTGGATCCTTTTAATGGATCACGATTTCTGAAATGGAATATATAAAATTGATCTTAAAAATGAAAACCAACTTCTAATGCGACTTAACATTTGAAATGAACAGTTAAATATTCAGAATGGAATGGCTTTCAGACTTAAAAATCTTGAAAATCTGATTTTCTTAATCTGTCAGTGGATATGGTATTCAATATTTGAAATAAGAACTATTAAAACCTCTAATTTACTTAACTTAGAAATATTTTATAATAAAAGATCAATATTGATAAAAATCTAATCAGCATTTATTAGGATTTAAAAAAAGAAATATAAGATACATCTTGTAGAGAATAAATCTTGAGAGAGGTAAAATAAAATAGAAGCCACCTGCGTTATTCTGATGTAAACCAGACAATAACCTTATTAATGCTAGGGATTTATCAGGTACATAATAATAATAGCTTGTATTTATAACTATTATGCAAGTAATACATCTTAAAAGTTAATCTGAACACCTGATGCCATTCGCCCTACCTTTGTTTTATCACAGTATTAAATCTGGGTTCTATTCAAAATGTTCAGGGTACATGTGATATACCATACAACTTAGATTAATTGAGATTAAAGTTATATAAAGTCTAGACAAAAGATGCATGTGCAGCTCATTATTGCTTTTTGACTTATCTTTAACAAAATGTGCAATTGTATAGAAATGATACTACACCTTTTAAGCTTTAAGGAGGGGTTTTAATGGGAAAGATTTTTTTAAAAACTGAAACATGCGTGCTAACATAAAATTATTTCTTTAAATTATCTTTAAAGTAATATGACATTGATAAAATAACTGATAAAGAGAACAAGGGAGTTATTCAAATTCAAGGTAACATCAAATTCCAGTACTTGTGATCATTGATACTTGATACTTTAAGACCATTTTAAAGCATTTTTTTCTGGAAAAAACAGTTAAGATCAGATAATCTTTAATTCCTAAATTTGCTTTTAAAACTGTTTCAATCAGATAAAGGGAGCCTTTGAAAGCATCACTATGATAGATCTTGTTGCGTTTTTGTCACAGTGACAGATTTTCGCAATTATTATCTTAGATGCGCTTAAATTTCTGAATACAAATACATTAACCATCATCCTAGAGTAAAGGAAAAAAAACTCGTAAGTATGCAGAGCAAGTGTGTTATTCGAAGATTGTAGAAGATGTAATTTAGTGTCTATTTCTAGCCCAAATCTTTAAAAATGACAAAAACTGTGTTTGTATGTTTATATTTGTCTGGTTGCCCTTACCACCTTTAAGAAATAACAATGTGAAATTTTTGTGTAGGTATATGTTAGAATATATTTGGGTGTATACTAGTTGGGTGAAATGGTATCAGTATGGCAATAATTCAGACAATATGTTGCTATCTCCACTATTTTAACATCTACATTCATAACTTGCTTATATCTTTACTTCTGGGAACACAATTTTATTTAAAAAATCTTACATTACACCTGTGGATAAGACTTTTGGGTTAAAATATTTCTTTAAATTTCTTTTTACTTAGCCAAGTTATCAACTCTAGATCTCCTGTATCATGCTATCTCCACACAAAACATTTTGTCATTAGATCAAATGACTAGATGTGTATTTCCATATAAGCCCATTAAGCATGCAGCACTGACAGGGGTAAACTGAATTATATAGTGCAAAATAATATACTCTTCCAATGCTTAAGTTCACTATCTGTAGCTTGTATCCACATCTAAGCTACTGTTTACTATGTTACAAGTTATTTACGTTAAGTTCTAGTAAGTTACAGTGATATCTATTTTTGATATATATACATATTTCTTCTAATTTTGAAGAAAATTTATATTTTTAGACATGTACAGGTATATAAGAAGGATTTGACTGATGGGTGCTTGGTAATAAAGAAACATTAACTGTTAAAGTTATGAGAAACTTATCTTATCATATAAAACCAGACATATTCATACATATTAACTCAGATAAATATCATTCCATTATGTATCATTCTTGGAGAAAATAAATGCAATTCTCACTTCAGGTAATTATCCAACATGCCAGCCATTCTATGTCAGCTAAGCTAATTCTTATGTTTATTTTAGGTACCCGCTACTGAGTCTTGTGCTAAAGCTTTAATGAAGATGTCATACTGTCCACATTGTCGTGGATTAACATTGACTAAACCATGCAGTAATTATTGTCTAAATACCATGAAGGGTTGTCTAGCTTATCAAGCTACATTAAACTCAGCTTGGAATGAATATATCGGTAAGTTAGACATTTATTTCTTTTCTATGGTAACAGCGAGAAATTTAATAAGCCTGAACTGGTAATTAAGGCAATGGTTTGTCTGAGTTTAGTAAGGTGATTTGGTGTGATAGAGCTAAAAAAGATTCTTGATCAAATTAATATTGTCCAGGTCAGCTCTTTTAAAAGACAGTTTTGGATTCCGCATTTAAAGACAGAAAGAAACTATATTTTACAATGATAACAATTTTAGGTTCACATTTAAGGATCCTTTCTACCAGCTGGTCCTTGGCCAAACCTCTTGGCATTTATCTTTCATAGATTATACGTACCCATGTACAGCTGGGTCAACTGGAATTATGAGTGAAGATGACTTATTCAAGGTCATCGGACTATCGCACACCGCCACAATGTTGATTATAAAGTATGATAGACAATATAAGCCTGGAAACTTGCTTCCATTAACAAATTAGAATAACTTCTAATTGACCTCTGAGATGACCTGACCTGACCCAATCACATGATTTCCTGAAAAGAAAGTATAGAATGGTCACGATCTGATTGAGCTAATGGAATGACACCTTTCATTTGGAATTAACAAGTTACATTCTGTGCAACAGTCAGTGTTTAATGAAGTAAATATATGGAAAAAACACTATTAATATGACCTGGATAAAAATGAATGGAATTTTATGTCCTACTAACTGTACCTAATTGTGCAATAAGGGACTTTTTACAGGACAGCGACATTAGCCTCCTCTTTTTTCGATTTCCAACTGTCGAAGGATCTTTAACATGCACAGTTTAATGGTATCAGGTGTTCCAATTTATGCCCTGCCTCATTAGCCTACATAATAATATGTATAATAATAATAATAATTTTTTTTGCATAAATAAGTTTACAAATACTATTACAATACATGAAATTCTGTGCACTGTCTGATTGCAATCCAGTATCTTTTGACAGCTGAAATGCATGTACATGTACCTATTCTCTTTCTGTCAAACAATCTTTAAAACTACTGAAGATGTATAATTTATTATCTTATTTTCTTGGCACCAATCAAGTATATATGCCAGATACCCAAGTAGTTTGAATTCCATCGTTTTCTCTGTAATTATGCTGGAGTGTTATGTGAATATTTCATTACTCTCAAACAATATGTTTGTATTTGAAAATTGCCAGACAGTAATTTGAAGATTTTAAAATTTAAAATTGTTAACTTTGATTGCATATTTCGCTGTGTTATTGCAAGAAGAAATTTAATAAGTCAACATGGGTTTTCTTAATATTTCGGGTGTGGATATTTTGTTTAATAATATTTTCATATCCTAAGCAATCAATTTTTTGTCCATTTTCGATAATGAAATAGTAACTTTTTCATCGGGTTATTTTTAATTTTGGTGTCATCTAATCTTAGAAACTAAAAAAAATATTTTAAGTTAGATAAAATAAAAAGGCATAACGAAGTCATACAATCAAATGAAACATGCATAGGGAGCACAACGTCATTTTAAATAGTGCTCAATCAATGGTCCAGTACATTGCAAATCTTCTCTTATGACTGATTACAAGCAGTTAATTGAATTTAATTGGTTCATGATGTTAGGATGAGATTTTTTAATTCTAAGCATTGTAGAAATGTTCATATTTGTTGAGAGATGAAGATTCTTGAGAGAGCATATCAAAATTGAATTCCATAAAATAAATTGATGTTTGAAAACAAACAAAAAAGGGAAATGAGATTTGGTGGAATTATTTGTTTTTAATCTGATGTCTGTGACCTGGTATAATACTAATAATATTTCATCTCATCCTTCATTCTTACAGACTTCAATAACTTCTTCTCTTTTCTTTCTTGCATAATTTTTACATAAAACCCTCATTGCTTCAATATTTCTCTTGACCTCAGCTGACACTTGGCATTTGTCTTGGTCAAAGACAGTGTCAGTATTGACAATGGTACTGACATGATTATAAATCATACTTCTGTCAATATGTCAACTAGAAAGTCCAAAAGTTTCCTCTGACCTATTAAAGAAGCTGATTGAATACAGATCAAGACATTTTAGACATGCATTTGTTTGAAGACAAACTTCTAAATTGGAAAAGAAAGCTGTACAAAATACATAATATTTCCTAGGCTGTACAAAATACATAATATTTCCTAGGCTGTACAAAATACATAATATTTCCTAGGCTGTACAAAATACATAATATTTCCTAGGCTGTACAAAATACATAATATTTCCTAGGCTGTACAAAATACATAATATTTCCTAGGCTGTACAAAATACATAATATTTCCTAGGCTATACAAAATACATAATATTTCCTAAGCTGTACAAAATACATAATATTTCCTAGGCTACTGTACAAAATACATAATATTTCCTAGGCTATACAAAATACATAATATTTCCTAGGCTGTACAAAATACATAATATTTCCTAGGCTGTACAAAATACATAATATTTCCTAGGCTATACAAAATACATAATATTTCCTAGGCTACTGTACAAAATACATAATATTTCCTAGGCTGTACAAAATATATAATATTTCCTAAGCTGTACAAAATACATAATATTTCCTAGGCTGTACAAAATACATAATATTTCCTAAGCTGTACAAAATAAATATGATTCTTAAGCTGTTCCAAATACAAAAGATTTCAAAGTTTTACAAAATACAATTTAAAAGCTGTACAGAATAGCATTTTGAAATTATACACAAAATGATTTCATAGTTATACAAAATGCTATGGATTTCATAGTTATACAAATAACAGTAAACTTAAAAGCTGTCGTCCTGCAAAGAGATAGTTGAAAAATTTCAAAGCTGTACAAAATGCATAAGATAATATCAATATTTAAATGAAATTAAATGAAAATATGCAGGTTTTGATCATAAATTTAAAATGATAATTTTAAGGAGCATGAATTACATTACTATTCATTACCAATTACCTTAACTACTTAGATATAACATCATTAAGTTTAAATAGTTATTAAAATAATTATTTCCCAAAATTTTAAACAGAAAATTTAAGTCATTATTATGTAAATGAAAAATGAATTCTTGACTGTTTCAAATAATGACTCACAAAATGGCCGCCATCGAAAAAGATGCCCTTCCAGTGTAAAATAATTGTAGAAATATGTTGAATTGATTTGACAGTAGGGCGAGACAGTCGACAGCTGATTAAAGACTTCTGCTTCGGTCGCTCTCAAATATCCTGACTTAAATGTCTCCTATTCCTACAGCTTTAACAAATTATTTGTGTTAGGATCAAATTTTTTTGTGGATCAATTTTTTTTATACTGTTAAATAATGATTCATTTGAAAGTAAATATAAATTTTATTAATTAAAGGCTATGAGTCCATAAAGAATATTTCTGGCAGGTTGAATTTTAAATTTGATTTTTGACAAAATATTGTTACTTGTCTGCAATTCTGGATGAAGTTTAAGTTAAAAACCTGGAAACAAGCCAAACATGCCTTTCAAACATTAGGCTGGGCATTCATTTAAAAGATTTAAAATTTTCCATTTGACAAAGAGAAAGAAAGATTTCTTTGTGTATGATATATTTCATATACAACCCATTTCCTCCGAACTAAGGTATGTCAATTTTGTCTTGAGTGCTTTATAGTCCGATCCAGGGTAGTAATTTGGTGATATTAAACTTTAAAAGGGTTGTAATCTGTTAAATTTGAGTAAGATAGAAGGCTTGTAATTTGTAAGTGACGCCCTACTTGATGTCAGCAACTAAGGAATTTATATGTTATATAAAGGGTTAGGTTGGGTGAGATAAATTTACCACTTCAAGATAATATTACCATTTGACTGATGTACTCCTTCATAACGTATGGCTTCTGAACCACCTTGTGTGCCCCTTACCATTGTCTCTCTACATTTATATTTCTTCAGTTTCCATTGTTAAACAATGACTCAGAAATAAATAATCTTTTCTGTCTTGAGTTTGTTACATGGATTTTTAATATGGATTTTTTAATAGATGAAATATATCTGACCTTGGTTGCCTCTCAAATTAAATCTTGATATCCTTGTGTCTTACATTATGAAAGTCGTGAATAATAGATTTTTTAAAAAAAGGATAAATTTATTTTTAAATAATTCAAAATTATAACCATCCTCTAGGTAGTGGAGATCATTTCAATAAAGTTGCATCAAATAAAAAAGTAAATTGCATTTTTCGTATTTAAGATATTTGATTCATGAGATGCAGTTAAAATTGTTAATAGAAATGCATTCAAGTCAATACAAAACCTACTTCCACAAACCTTCTACTTCACCCTGCCTATTGGGCATGATAAGGGTGATAGTCTAAAAACGCAAATAATTGTAAATAGAAAAGTGCAATTCTAAATATCTGAAGTATTTAACCCTGTGTATATTGAATTAAGATAGATGTAGGCTATCACTGTGTTTATTTTGGAAAGTAGATATGTTAAAGAAAGTAGATAAAATAATGTTTCAAGTTGATCAAACCTGTGGTTGATGTAAGTTATGATGAATATTTAACATTTGCCTTTTATCTTATTATATAAATTAAATTATAGGAGAAAACACTCATTTACTTACCAAAACCAACAGTCATAAAATCCAAAAGCTGGCAGGGAAAAGGCTGAACCACCTGGATTAAAATACATGTCTTACTTAAAACTGAAATTTTATTTCTTAAATTGGATCTGAGTCCGATAACCTTAGAAAGATCTGTACAGTTTCTCTTAAATATAATATTACAAGATATACAGGTATTTTAGTGACTGGATGTCTTGAATACCTTTAGAATTAATCATATATATGATTATTTGTTTGCAATATTCTAGTTGTATGAAGTATTTTGAAAGCGCTATCCATAATCTGGAAACCGTAAAATATAATTTAGACTCATTCATTGTTATGTATCTATCTTCTAACATTACATTTTCTATTTACAGAGGCAATGAAAATGTTAGCTAGTCGATTGGAAGGACCTTTTAATATTGAATCAGTGGTAGATCCTATTGATGTCAAAATATCTGATGCTATTATGAATCTACAGGAAAGCAGTGCTAAGGTTTCAGCTAAGGTAGGTTTTCTTTTACCAATTTATGGTTATATTTAAATGTCAATCATATAGTCAAGTATCACATAATAACTTAATTTCCACCACTTCCATAATAAGTG